CCTATGAATACACAGGTCACAGGTTCAATTCTCGGGGTTCACACAAATACTGTACAGGTGTAGGGTGAGGTCTAGGGATCGAACTCTGAGTACTGCATCCGCTTTTACTAAAAGGTGAAAACCGTTTCATTGCCTTCTAGAGGGAGGGGATAGTGTTACGGACTTCGCCAGGGCTCGATCCCTGGTCTATCTTTTGCTGTTTTGGCTGCATCCCGTTCTCGGCCTGGCACCCTTTTTCCAAACCCCTCCTTTGTTACCATAGGATTTTGGACAACTGGCGCTATGCTGCAATTCGGGCGCCACTTTCAAATACTGCATTTTTCAGTTCTGCCCTCGGGGCCTTTGCAGAAATGCCCCTGGTACCATACGTGTCACCGGTACTTCCCGGCTCCCCGTACGGTACGGGGGGCAGTCTCGTACCAGTTCTCTGCTGCTGTACTCGTACTCAGTGTGACTTGCTGTTTCGGCATTCGGAATCCAAGACTTCGACTTTGTGCCTTACCACTGTGTCTGCGTCYGACCCTCAGTCCGAGTCCGTCGAGTCGAGTGAGTGAGTGTGTGTGTGTGCTCTCACTCTCTCCCTCTCTCTCCTCTCCCTCRGCTCACCCTCAGCCTCACGCCCGTTACAAGATGAGAGGGTGGACCAATGGGCATTTGGCAAGGACTTTGAGCAGTTCCTTGGCCTGGTTAGATCGCGTTATGAGGATAAGCACGTGTTGTTACAGCCATGGGTCAGTTGATACATTTGGACCTCACGAGGTGGTTCTCTGTGGATGCCTTGGTCAGGAGGATGGACAAACTCTTGGCAGTTCCCGGTGTAGAGTGCAGTGATGCTCAGGCGGTACACACCTTGCTGCAGTGCGTGCCTGTACTCATAAAAAATCAGCTACTGGGGAGGCATAAGGATATGAAGGCTGTCACCTACCGCAGCCTAAAGAACGAGGCCCTGAACCTGGAAGCCAGAACCAGGCAAGCAGGAAGAGCCAGGAGTGGTCTCAAATATGCAGATATGAAAAGAGGTTGGGTAAGTATTTTGAAGGGAAAAAGGCAATTGTTGCAGAGGAGAAGCAGTCCCACTTCATGGTGATTTATGATGATGGGACTTTGGAGGAACTGGACCACAACAGCTTCCTCGCAGACTCAGAGGACAGCAGTGGAAGCCAGCAAGCTGCAACTTCAGGTGGAGAGTTCACTGCTGTCGCAGCCAGCAAGAGAGACCGTGGAAGGGGAAGAGGTAGAGGTTGGTTTGGCAGAGGGCAGCCAACTAGAGGAGGTGGCCAGCCGCAGCAGCAGCAAGTTTATGAACCGTGGCGAAGGCTGAGGATCATCCAGCAAGAGTATGAGAGAAGAACGAGAGAGAATGCCTGCTTTAAGTGTGGGTAAACTGACCACAGGATTGCCTTCTGTCCCTACTGGCAGCCAAAAGGCAATGCCCGATAGAAGGTACAACCCCTTCTACCCCATCTGCTGGTGGATCAGAAAGAGTAGTAGTGCAGGCCTGCAACGCCATTCCACCAGCCCAGCACAGAGAGGCAGGGACTGAGAAAGTCGTCCCAAAGGCAGTACACTCTCCTGAGGCCCTGGTCAAGGTCTCACTGCTTGTATCCCTTGATGATCTTGGCGAGGACCTGACTGCCCTACGCCAATCACGGACTGGGCAGAGTAAAAGGAGAGGAGAGCTAGTGATTCTAGAATTAGAGGTAGGAGCTAGAATGTTAGCAGTATTAGTAGATTTTGGCTCGACAAGGTCATACATCAGCAGGGACAAGATAAAGAAGTGCAAAATAACTGAACAGGTGAGAGACTTGCCTAAACCGATTATGAGTACCCTTGCTAATAAGAGTCAGATAGTAGTTAGCCAGACAGTTAGTGCGGTCAAGTGTCACCTTTGGTTGGAGGATGAGAGAGTCCAACACTCCCTCAGTTTCTTAGTGGAGGTGTGACGAGGCTGAGGCTGAGGCAAGACAACGAGGCTGGGAGAGAGAGGGAGAGAGTGAGAGCACACACACACACTCACTCAACTCGACGCAGACTCGACACGACTCGACGGACGCAGACACGAAGTGGCAAAGTCGCAAAGTCGAAGCCTTGGATTTCCGAACACAATGTTGAGGCAAGTCACACCGAAGCATAAACACTGAGGCTGCAAACTGAATGTCGTACTGGGCTTGGGTCTGATCTTAAGTATCGGACTCAAGTTCAGTCCGATGGGCAGAAGTGCAATTTGCCCAGGGCTGATCTGAAAATCGAAAGTTTGAAAATGGGCGCCAGAATGCCGGATGGCACCAAGTGTCCGAAATCCGAAAAATAAAACAAAGAGAAAAATAAAAATAAAAAACAAAGAAAAGACAATGTGTGCAGTGAACTGCGTGTAGCGTCCCGCAGACCAGGGATCGAGCCCTGGTGTAGTCCGTAACACTATCCCCTCCCTCTAGAAGGCAATGTCCCGGCTGCCAAAAATCATGAAGCAATGCTGAAATCTGTGAAGGACGGGACAGGGCCGATCACTGGTTAACAAGTCGAAAGGGAAGAGGGGTATAATGTGGGTGGCATGGGCTGCGGGAGTAAGAGGGAACAGGGTTTGGTACCGGTGAACAGGGTTGTCCTACTGATGAACTAGGGGGGGTTGCAGGGAACAGGGTAGTCCTACAAATGAACTAAAGGGACGGTAGGGAGCAGGGTAGTCCTACTGATGAACTGAGGGGATTGCATGGTTTGCTATAGGTTAAGGGGGAACAAAGTTCAGGGAACAGGGAACTTCTATTGATGTTCTACTGAGTAAGGGAAACGGTGTTCAGGAAAACAGGGTATTGCTAATGATGTTGTTCAGGGTTGTCAAAGTCGGGAAAAAAAATGAAAATGTTTGTTCAAGATGCAAGGGCTGGTTGTGTCCGAAGAAGCAACATCTCATGTGGGAACAAAGTGTCCGAGTGTCTTCAAAGGAGGTCTGCAGCGGTCTTGATCAGGTTTTGGAGTAGGTGGTGGAAGCGGTCTTTCCAAGAAGCATAGCAGTACTCCACATGTCCAAAGTCCAAGTGCTAGGGTGCGTCCGGTACATGAACTGCGATGAGGTCTGATCTGGAATCAGGTAAGTCGCACACTGATGCAAGTATCCATGTCGCAAGTTGCTGCTCCAGTAAGTCTGCGAGTCGGGATGCCGGCCGATGAAACAGCATGGTGGCCAAACCAGCTGCATAATCTCCATGAACAGTGAGGCAGCAGGCCATCGTGCTTGTGCGCTTGCCATTAGATCCTTTATCGCCGGCGTCATGCAGGTCCACAAGCATTGGACGAGAGAGACAAGGTATTGGAGAGGACATATGGGACAAGGCTAGGCAAGGGTAGGGGCAGATCAGACATCAGGAATCAGGGTCAAGGGGAGGGTGGCTGGGTTCAAGGGTGTGTGTAGCGCAGGGTTGCGAGGGTTTAGCGGGGGGTTATGCCATAGTTATATACACGATCATTGGCACGGACAAGTTTCATGGCGTTCTTAAGATTAGAGAGAGGTTCCCATGTAGATTCTTCGTCGTGGTATCCGGTCCATTTGACTTTGTATTCAGTGATTGGTTCCAGATGATCAGATACCTGAGTGGTTCGTCGGCCGATGATGGTTTCGACAGCGAATTCAGGGCCTGTGGGTAGCATGATTGGTGGAGGTCTAGGATATGGGCGGTCGGGGATTCATGGTATTGTTCTTTAGGTACTCGACAATGAAGACTGGGTGGACACGACTCATGTCAGGGGGAAGTTGGAGTTTGTAGTTGACGGGGGAGGTTTGTTCAATGATGGGGAAGGTACCGAGCCATTTGTTGGAGAGTTTCTTGGACAAGTCGTGTTCGGGTTCAAAGCGTTTGGCGGAGAGCCAGACTTTGTCCCCTACTTTGAATGACACGTCGCGTCTATGTTTGTTAGTCTTGTTGGCTTGTTGTTCTTGGGTTCGTTCAATGGCTTCGRAGGCTTCTCTCAGGAGTCTGTTCATTGTTGCTACCCATTCATTCAGAGAGGGGCAGGTGGTGGATGGGTTAAGCTGCGAAGGAAGCAGGAAGTCAGAGGGCAAGCGAGGGTGGTAGCCAAGGTCGAGGTAGAATGGAGACATGCCGGTGGGGCAGACGGCGTAGTTGTAGGCAATCTTGGCGGCTGTGAACAACTGATCTCAATCGTGTTGGTGAGGATGACAATACTTCCGCAGGATTCTTTAGAGAGTATCGTTCATCTTCTTTGTTTGTCCATCCGTCTGTGGATGGAATGCAGTGCTATACTTGAGCATGGTTCCGTAGGCCGTGAAGAGGTGTTTCCACAATTGTGAGAGAAAGCGAGGATCACAGTCACTGATGATGTTCTCGGGGAGGCCGTGATGGCGAGCAATGTGGTCGAAGAAGAGTGTGGCGACGTCTTTGGCACTGTGCGGGGTCGTGCAAGCAATGAAGTGGGCACATTTGGTCAAGCAGCAGACAACGACGTAGATGCAATCATGCCCACAGTTGGTCTTGGGAAGACCGCAGACGAAGTCCATGGAGATGGACTGCCAACGGTGAGTAGGGATGGGCAATGATTGGAGCTTGTCGGGTTTGGCCTGTTTCGAGGGATTAATGGCTTGACACGTGGGGCATGAGCGAATGTATGCCTTGACGTTGGCGAGTAGGGAAGGCCAGTAGAAGTAGCGGGAGATGGTGTCGAAGGTTTTCTAGAAACCGAGATGTCATGCGTTCTTGGCGTCGTGGTGCTCGGCCAAGAGCTGAGTACGGAGGCCTCGTGCGTCGGGGATGCAAAGTCGGCGAGTGCCTTTGGTATCGATGTAGAGGAGGTTGTTGTGGAGGGAGTAGTCGGAACTTGGTCAAGATCGCGGAGCTTGCTGTAAATGGTGGCGAAGTCTGAGCAGGAGAGATAGCCTTGGGTGTATCGATGATGAAGTGATGGGGGGAGATGGATACGAGTCATGGCGTCGTAGACTTTTTCGAGGGGCTTGTGGTCGGGTCGGCGAGAGAGGGAATCAGCAACGCGGTTGCTTTTGTCAGGGGTATGGCAAATAGTGAATGTGAACTGGGCAAGGAAGTCTAACCAGCGGGCTTGGCGTGGCGTGATGTCTTTCTTGGAAAGGATGGAGGAGACGGTGGTGTTGTCAGTGCGGATGGTGATGTATTGCCCGTCGAGGTACGGACACCAGACTTTGAGGGTGTGGATCACGACGAGAAGTTCCTTCTCGTTGGAGGGGTAATTCATCTCCGCGGGAAGAAGCTTCTTGCTAGCGAAGGCGATGGGGTATTCGCCGGGTGGAGCCTCGGGGTGAGTGCGGGAGTTCTTGATGGAGGGGGTGTCGGCGGTGTCATGAGGGAAATGTTGGGACAGTACGGCTCCAATGGCGAAGTCGGAGGTATCAGTGGTGACATAGAAGTGGCGGGTGGGATCGGCGATCTTGAGTACGGGGACCGTGGTGATGGTTTGTTGAGTAGATCGAAGGCGTGCTAGTGGCGATCGTTCCAAGTGAAGGGCTCGTCCTTACATGTGAGTTCGTGGAGGGTTGTGACCATTACGGATGCCTTCAGCGGAGACAATGTGGCTGAGGTATTCGACGCTCGAAGCAGCAAACGTACATTTGTTGAGCTTGGCGTATAATTTTTGCTCTCGGAGGATCGAGAGGACTTGGCGGAGGTGCTGAAGGTGGGACTCGAAGGTGGGGCTGAAGACAAGGATGTCATCAAGGTAGACCACGACACAGACTTCGAGGAGGCTGCGCAAGATGTGGTTCATGGTAGATTGGAAGGTAGCGGGGGGGAATGGCATCACGAGGAACTCGTAGTGCCCGAACCGAGAGTGGAAGGCGGTCTTGTGGGTGTCCTCCTTGCGGATACGAATCTATGGAAGCCACAACGAAGGTCGATCTTGGTAAAGTACTTGGCTCCACGGAGACAATCAAGGGGCTCCGAAATCCGAGGTAGGGGGTACTTGTTTTTTATCGTGATCCAGTTCAAGGCGCGGTAGTCTGTGCACATGCGGAGTTCCGAAGTTCCACCTTTCTTGACGAAAAGGCAGCTGGTTCCGAAGGGGGATGAACTTGGCTTAATGAACCCTTTTTTAAGGAGTTCACTAAGTTGCCGCTTCATTTCTTTGGCTTCGGGGATAGAGAGTTGGTATGGAGGGTGGCAAGTGGGGAATGTCCGGGCTCCAAATCGATGGTATGGGAAACGCCACGATCCGGAGGTAGTCCGGCGGGTAAGGACTCAGGAAAGACATCCTTGAACTCATCGAGGATTGAGGTGATGGCGGGGTTGGAGGCGGGGGCTTGATCAGGTTTGTCCGTCGAGAGTAAGTCCTCGGGACTTTTACGATCAAGGACAAGACAATAGTAGGCGGAGTCGGGGTTCAAGCGAGCCATGTGGAGGAATTGGTGCGGGGTGACGGAGCCTTGGGAGGTTGGATATGGGAAATAGGGGACGTCGATGGTTGTATCGGGGGGGTTGGTGAGGCCAAGGAAGTTGGGGTGGAATGCGTATGGCATGTAGCTGTCCAGCTGCGGGGTTCCTAAGACGATGTCGCCCATCAAGTGCATGACATCGAACGAGACCTGACTGCGGAGGGTTCCGACGGTCATGGTGGTATCGGGAACCGTGCGGTCTACTACGATGGCGGTGTCTTTGTCCCCCAGGCGAATCGTGATCGGGGAGTCATAGCCGTTAGATGTAAGACCGACTTTGTGGACACGCACGTCGGTGATGAAGTTACCGGTGGCTCCAATGTCGAGGAGGGCCCGAAACTTAGTTGTAGACGCACCAAGGGTGGCAGTGATGAATTTGAGGTGGAAACGAGATGAGTTGGCGGTGGAGGTGATGGTGTTGAGGCGGCGTTGTTGGTTGCCTAAGCGGACAAGTCGATCGTGTCGAGCTTGCTCCTCAACAACTTTGGAGAAGGTGACAGTGGATGGGTTTGGAAGAAGGGTAGAGGAGCATGGGGCAGTGGGAGGCATTTGCGATGCCTGGGAGTCATCGGGTGGAGGGGGCGTCATCAGAGAGGGGGGAGGCAGACGAATTGTCGATGCCTGATCGATGTCCTGGGGACTGTGTTCATGATGAGGAGGGACCCGCGCTTGCCGAGGGCGGTGATGCGGAGGTTGCGGGTCGAGTGGAGGCGAACTGGCGGGTGAATTGTGTGGCGTTGGGGCAGTTAGTTTGTTGGTGCCCCAATTGGCGACAACGGAAGCAACCCCCGTTTGCTTGGAGGTAGGTGCGCTCCTCGGGGATGAGTTTCTTGAGGCGGGAGGGTGGGGTAGATGAGGGTGGTTGGGAGCTGCGATCTCTGCGCTCCATCCTAATGAATTGGACGACATTGAGTTCCTCGGAAGTGAGGGATGAAGAGTCGAGTGAATCGGAAGATGCATCGGGGTCAGGTGTGGTGAACTCGTCCGAGGAAGTGATGGAGGTGGTGTCTTCAGGGGTGATGTGGTGGAAAAAGTGGGTGCGGGAGGGGGCGGGCGCGGGCTGGTGGCGGGGGTGGAGTCGTTGATCGTGGTGAAGCATGCGAGAGAGGAGGTCAGCAAGGGGCATGTCGGGTTCGTGGGCGAGGGCGGTTGCAAGGTCTTTGTGGCATACTCGTTTGATGCGGGAGATGAACGCAAAGTCGGGAACGACGGTGGTGGGAGGTGGTGGCGGAGGGAGCGGACGTATTGGACGAAGCGGTCCGTGGGACCGGTCTGGCGGAGGTGATAAAATTGTTCGAGGTAGTCATCGATGGTTTTCTGGGGGCGGAAGGTGGCAGTGAGAAGTTTGGCCCATTGAAGGAAGGAGCGACGTGTTCCTCCGGAGGCTCGGCGGTTGCTGACTTCAGCCATCCACCATTTGGCGGCATTGCCAAGGAGGCGAGAGGTGGCAATGGGGAGCCAGTGGGCAAGGGGCATGTGGTGGAGCTGAAAAGAGTTTTGAAGCTGGGTTAGGAAGAGGAAAACGTCCTCGTGGGGGAGGCCGGAGAAGGACATGATGTCGACGGATCGGAAGGAATGGGGGATTTCCCCGTCGCGGGGAACGATCCGGGCGAGGGTGTTGAAGCTGAGGTTATCGGGGGTGGTGTCGTAGCAGGTGTAGTTGAGTTTGTTGTTGTCCTCAAGGAGGTAGTTGGGGGGAAGTTGTTGCATTGTGGGGTAAGCCCCGGAGGTGACTTGGGAATAGGTGGGACAGATGGTGGGGATGGTGGAGGTCGTCATGATGGGTTGGGGAAGGGTATGAGAGTGTGGGGGGGTAAAGAGGGGTGACGTGGATGGGCGAGGAATGAGGCGGTGTGTGTTGGATGCGCCGGATGAGGGAGGAGGTGGGGGGAACGAAACGGTGGTGGATGATGAGGGGGGCGGAAGGGTGGAAGAGGAAGGGTTGGTGGATGTGGTGGTAGGTGGTAGGTGGTAGGTGGTAGGAGTGGAGGAGGTTGGCGGGGGTGTGTTGCTGGAGGCGGCTGTGGAGGAGGGAGTGGTTTGCGCTGTGGAGGAGGGAGGTGCGGCCGTGGTGACGACCGTGATGAAGGGGTTGTTCCCTTCGAGCGTGGTGACGCGGTCAGATATGGACGGCATGGTGGCCTTTGTGTCGTCGAGAGAGGCGGTGACGGGGCTTTGGAAGGTGTTGAGTGTGTGGAGGATGGCGGAGAGGTCGGAGGTGGCGGTGTTTGCTGGTGGTTGTTCGCCTGCGAGGTTGCCGGCGATGCTATCGACCGAGTCGGTGCGGATATCAAACATGTTGATGGAGGATGCGGCCATGTCGGGGGAAGAGGGGGTGGAGGACACAACTGGAACGGATGTGGAGGATGCAGCAGCAGCGGTGGCGGCGGCAGCGCGTTGGGAGTTCTTGGTTTGGCGTGGCGGCATGTGGAGGTGGGGGGGCCAATCCCTTGTTTATTTATCAATAAATTCAAAAATAAAGATAATTGCCAAGATTTACTATTATTATTATTTTTTGTTTTTTGGGAAACTAGGGAATTACTATTGAATAAATTTATTCCTGATTGGAATTCTTTTTATTCGAAATTAATTTGGGTAGAACAAAATTTTCAAGGATCCGAAGGAGAGATTTACAAAATTCGTTGTTCAAAATATTGGAAGTAAATAAGTTTGAATTTATTTCAAAATTTAGTTACGTGAAACGGTATTCACCTGTTAGCAGTAGTGAATGCAGGTCCCAGGGTTCGATCCCTAGTTCTTACCTTACGTGTGTACAGTATCTGTGTCTACCCCGAGAGTTGAACTCGTGACATGTATATTCACAACAGTTGGTAGGTTGTCCGTAGGTTGTAGGGGTTCGATCTGTAGACTTGTAGGATAGAGGTCTTAGTGAGCTCTAGAAGTCGTAGTTGTAGCTGTTCTGAGAGGTCGAGGTCGTAGCTGCTACAATCCTGAAGGGTGAAGGTCGTGGCTCCTACAGTGTTCGAAAGGCCAATCCCACAAACTTTCGAAAGGTCCGAAAGTGGCCTTTCGAAGTTTGCTCACGTTTAGACAGAGGCAAGTGGGCCAGTGGTGAGCCCAACTGCGGTACGTCGGCAGTGCGACTTCATCGAGTTGGCAGTGCAAACCCATGGAGTCAGCGGTACCGGTCCCAGTCAGTCAGAGTCCAGTCAAGCAAGTACCGTGTGGGACTGTGTGCACCAAGGGCATGGAAAAGGGGCAGACCAACGAGTTACTGAAGTATAAATCAAGAGGCAGCGTTGTCGATCGCGGCGGTCCCGCACCCTGCTGGGAGCGCTGGACCTCACGGTCGTGTCACGCAGGATATATTCCTGAAAAGAACCAATCACCACTCCAACCGTGCACGCGTGCTATACCTCTCACGACACCCCACGACAGGTCGGGGAGCCGCGAGGTACAACTTACCTCTACCCGAGAGGCTGTCACCACCCTCAAGTAGGCGTATCCCTGTTGAGCTACCGGCCCACATGCAAAGGCTTTTACATGCCTTTGTCGAGGTAGGTCGGCTGAGGGCGTTTGCTCGATCGCTGTAGCATAAAAAAAGGGTACGCGCGGTAAGACGCCTAGAACTGACCCGTTAGATATTCAGGTCGAACTTTTAATAAGACAGTCTTTTTCCGCTACTTCGTAATGTATTATTCTCTTTGACCAATACCACTCAAACCTTCTTTCTACCAAAGAGCGTCCTATCTTTCTTAACAAGTTAGGACTTAACTGAACATTAGAATAGTTAAGTTGGACATATGATGAATATGAAAGTATTACCGCCGAGAACCCTTCCCACTTTCACAAGTGTCGTGTGTCCGAGACTCTTCAACAGACCAGGTCCAATTCAATCCAAAATCACGCACAAAACAGACCTGCAAAGAATAATGCAAAAACAGTTCACATGCCATGTACTAACGACGTCAACCATCAACCATTGACCTTGTCCCTCACTTCCCAAACCATGTATGACAGCCTTATCTTTCCTGAGACGTAAGCCCAGCCCCTTCACATTTCTTCAAAGGACCCTTGAGAGTGACCAGGACCATTTAGGCAATGACCACAGATGACAGTTTTACTGACCACAGGGTTTGACTTTAGAGGTGGGTATCAAGTCAAAGGGGAAAGTTGAATCGGTAACAACCGACGTGTTATCGAGAGATAACAGAAATTTGGGTCCTTTCTGTAGAACCTCTTCCTTGAAATGCAGTCGATAAACAGGGACCTGCACACACACAGGTCAACAAAAATTCAACACCTTCACTTTTTGATATCTAAGGGTCAAGCCCTTAGACATGGGTAGTGAGCTCCGGGATCAACATCCCAGGTCTAATCCCTAGTTTTACTCTCACAACCCTACCTTAAGTCATCCGAGACTTACCTTCTCCCCTCTCTCTCGCTCCCTCGTCTTTGTCGTCACCGCTCGATGCCCCTCCCCATAATGCAACCCGACTCTTCAAGATGCGCAGCGTACGGTGACCACAACACGGGGCGACGATAGGCACAGCAAGTACTCCAACAAGTCGTGCAGATAACGGGCTCATCCTTACGATGCCATCGCCGGATGTACCACACACCACACGAGTCTCCACCCTTGCGTATGGTAATCAGCGGATGTAAGGGTCAGGTGAGTACCCTTCACCCCTCCTATCTTCTTCTTCTTCTTCTTCTTCTTCTTCTTCTTCTCGCGTCTCCCTCTTTCGCGCGACCGCCTTCGTGCGCTTTTTTTCGCTACCCCCTTGCGCGTAGTTTCTCCCCGCTTTTACCTACTAAGCTTCCACTTCCCCCTCCGCCTAGCTTTTTCTAAGTCACGCCCGAGCACACCGCGACTAACGTACTTCCCGCTGTTACGGAGCCAGATACAGTCCGGCTCGATTTCCTCGTAGCCCTGCTACAACGCGACTATCCCACACTGTCCGGCGGCTATCGAACACCGTCTCGAGAACGGATTTGTCCGAGAATCGAGGCAAATCCATTAAAGAGAATAAGTTAAAAGTAAAGAAACGAAAAATAATTTAACGAGAAATGAAATAAAAAAAAAAAAGAAAAAAAAAAATAAAGAACGAAATCTAACAGAATCTAACTCCTAACTACCCCAACTCGCCAAGTGGCGGGCAGACAAACTAACCACAACTACTCCTAACATTGAGGTCTCGGGTTCAAGTCCCCGCCAACCGTCGTGCGGGGTGAAACGGGCGGCCACCGTGTTGCTCCCTAGTAAAAGGAGCTAGCTCTGGGTCCCTGAGTCTGTGGCGTGACAGTCCGGGCCCGTACCTACTGAGCTAGCTCTTATTCTGGTTAGGAGAGGAGCCGCTCATGTATAAGTAGAGTATCGGGGCTCAGCCCACCTAGTGGTCTGACCCCGTTTCTAAGTTTGCGTGTGTGGGCACGCTTGCTGGTCTGTGTGCCTGTCTGAGTGCTTGTCGGCTTGAGCGTGTGTGTGTCCCCCGATGTGATTTGGTTGATTGTAAGGCCCGAAGGGTCAGTACCTGCCCGTAGTGGTGACATTGAGGGTCGTCGCGGGGAAAACACTCAAGTGGCGGGTAGGTTGGCGCCACTTTAAGTAGATGTGTCGGGTACTTGAGGCCGGCAGAAGAAGACAAAAGTTGGCATTTTTAAGAGGCCCAGTACTGGTAGGTAGGCGGGTACCAGTCCAAATAGCCTAGGTCCAGGCCCTGCGCGGACAATATCAAAGCTTGCAGCAGTGTCCCCCTCTTCCAAGGATGAAGGCACCGGTCGCTTGGGTGGCCACGTGGGTGTGAAGTCGTCGTCCGAAGGGCGACTTCCCCTTATGTACAGGAGGCGGAGCTGGAGCCCCAACTCCACTCACGTCATACAAGTAAGGACAGATGTACCGACTGTCGTTACCTATTATGGTAGGCAGTGTATTTCTCTTGGCTGCCCAGGCCGCATGGCCAGGGTCATATTAACTTTTCAGTTGTCTTTAGATTTTTCCGGCGGCGCAACCTGCCGACTTTCCTATACTTGCCGGTCCGACGCCCCGTTACTCATTCTAATTCAATCTTGCCTTACCGCCTGACCTTTTAACTGGTTTAGATCGCGGTTGCCGCACCCCGTGCGACCTTTTCTTGTTCGCTATCAACCCTCCGGCCCTTGCGGCCGAAGACTTTTAGTTTTTATTAACCCTTACCTGTTGTCGTATGGGTCGTATTCCAGCGTACGATCACCCAGAAATCTCGGCCTCAATGGTCGAGAAGTTTGCTTCACGGCGCGAAGCCAAAAAAAATTCTCAGTTTTTAGTCCAAGTCGTCCCTAGCATATTAACCGGAGTCGATACTGTGTCGAATGCAAAATCATGAGCAAATACCCTTGTAAGGGTGTTTGCTCCGATAGTTTTCCCGGACCCCATTAAGCGACGTGCCTGTCGCTGGGGAAACTAGATGCAAACAAAGGCCTTTAAACGTGACAAGTTGTCAAAATCCGATTTCCTGGATGAAGTTGCGGTTTGAAGACCCTCACTGTTCCCCTTGGTGCGTCCATACTGCCAGGATTTTAACCTGGGTCTCCCACATATCCAAAAATGACAGTTCCCAAGAAAGGTTATTCCATATGAACCCAAGTGGGCATACTGTATCTGTACTACAGTTGCGGAGGTCACCAAGGAAGACAATGATAGCTCCTCCCCCCAACTTTAGACTTTATTTGCTAGGATCTCGTTGGGTGTCCGAGGAGTTACGAATCAAAAATCGAATCCCACTCTTTGGACGCAGGTCTTGACCTAAATCAAATTTTACCATCCCACCCGAAGTCTAATGCGAGGGGATCGGCGACCTTGGTCTCAACCCACCACAGTCGGTTGATCAGTCCAAAACTGCGGCCCACCGCGTTGTTATTTTAGCGATGGTTCCCGTATTGGTTACGCAATATCGGGTATAATTCTCCTATCATTCTAGACCTGACCCTTGATCCCGCCGATATCTACCTGAACCAATTCCATCATTAAGGAGGCCCCCTCTCAAGTTTTAGTTCTAGGCCGTAATCGGAAGGCCCGCTGCCTGGTTATACTTGGTCAGCAGCCCATGCTGGGAGTTACGTCCCAACGATGCCAATTTTCCACCATAGGCTTGGTAATTTCAATTCCCTCAGACTGACCACCTAGAGTGGATAAACGATGATCATTTCAAATATATATAAAAACAATTTGACCAAAGAATTTCACCCCCTCGTCAATTTTGAATGAATGAACCATTCTGAAAGTATATATGGAAAAACATTTATCAATAAAAATGATATTTCATGATTGTCATATTGTTACTGAACGAGGGGCATCGTCAGAGCCACTTAGGGGTCGTGTCTCCCAGACCTCGATCACAGGCTGGACAAACACACGTCTCGGGGATCTTCAACCAACAGGAAAGCCAACCAAATATCCATAAAAAAATATAAAAACTTTTTGTTTGACTCCT